CAGAGTTTTCGGGCTCTTATTGGCGTCCATCGTCAGAGGTAAAAGGCATCAAAGAAAGACGAGTAAGAGTTATAGGAGGCAGGGGCCAATCAACGGTTATGGAGGGGAGGGGGGGAGCAGTCAACCGCCAGTACCATCAGTCCGGAGATGTCTGCGCAGTGCATTGTACGCCGGCGCTAGATAGATAAATCGATTGACTGAGTTCTCATCCGAGGCCCGGGCTTCAATCAACTCGCGGCCTGTTTTGTTCCGGCGCGCGATTATCCTCGCAGCTGCAAAATTAAACTTGTGACCGGCCTTGTAGGTATGGGCAGCCACTTGTGATAATGATAATGATTGCGGTGATCAAAAAGTCTTCTACTTTTCTATATACACACATACCTGGGATGCGAAAATTTGCCCCAATTTGTCATAACTTATCCTCTTCCCTCCTTTCTTGCTAGGCTATGGTCCTAGAAAATGAGACATCGTTGGCAAAGATCGCGTACTCACTACCGCCCGGGAGTATGGTCTACCTTCGACAAGACGACACATTCTATCTTAAGACAGAGAAGAAGGAAAATGTTTGGAGGATAATTCAAATGGTGAGTCGGAAACTTTGGACGCGTAACCTTCCACATACTGCCCCTGATTCCTGTGCACTACGGGCTCGCGTTTTCCATAACAAAAAAACTTCTGACCTCCAAGCCCCCTGACTTCTTCTCTTTTTCAATTTAGGATACGGCCTCGCAGCCAATAACGATCGCATCTCCACCACCGGTAAGAAGAAAAGATTATTGTTTAAGAGCACCAGACCTCTTTTTTCAAAACGTTCATCAGCCTACAAATAAAACAATGCAAACATTTTATAGTAAGAAGAGTTTTAACAAGCAATCTCGTTGACGCAAAGTAAAGTATTACTATTTAATTATTAAAGGAAAAGTATAAAATATGCTCAGGATGAGAGGGCTGTTCACTTTTCCTACATCGCAAACACACAAAACCTGCAACGAGTTCACACCTATCGTGAACCTTAGGAAAACCGGATTAACACCGTATCATTTTGTGTGCCTGAACGCTGAATGTCCGAACTTGCTTCTAGGTATAGCAGAATGTGCATGTTTATCAAAACAGTAATTTAATACTTACTCGAATTTGAAGATATAATTCACGACTGCTGCACAAAGCTGGGTAGCAGTGTCACTAACGCCAATCAGAAACCTGTTGCAGCGGATTTTAGAAAGTGAATGGTCAGCAAATGCCTTCCTTGCACGCGTGTAAATGTGTTGGGGAAAATCCGCAGAACTAATTCAGAACCCTCTTCGATGACACAATCGATCAGCCGTCATTTAATGGGGAGCGTTGCCTTTGAAGAGACAGAACGAAACCAAACTCTCTATATGTTTTCTTTGAACTTGCGATAATAACTTTGCGTCCTTTAGCATAAAATGACAACATGTGGCAGCGCAGACCTTTGATTGTGATTTGAATAAAACGGCTTAAAGCCATTATTATTCGCCACTGTTTTCTAAAACCGACCTAATAATACGCTAATAACAAGATATTTATCTGCGCAGTGATTTCAACACTAATTCACTGTTAAACATAACTATAAATAAAACCTGCTAATAGTGCCAGCCTTAGATCTCAACAATCATATCAGGGAAGCTGGAGGCTATATGAAGGTGTTCGCGTTTTCTAGCAGTATAATTCTGGTTATCCCAGATCTGCGCACAGAGATAAAAATATCGGTTAGCCTCGTAGCTCAGTGGTAGAGCGCAAAAGCCTGCTCTGCTGTGTGGGTGCGACTCCCCACGAGGCCGCGAGTTTTTCACAATAACTTCAATGGAATTATTCAAATCTGCCAAACCCCTAACAACTAGGGTAAGCTAGTAGTCCGTCCGGTTGATCCTCGATAATTACATAGGCACTCCTACGTAGCAGTCAGCATACTGCGTACGTATTGGTGGATTCCATACGTGCAGTACAGGTGGGCAAGCAAATCAATCCACGTCGGATTAAATCCACGGCGCACGGTGAGCTTCGCAGCTCCATGGTAAAACGTTGGCTGCGCAAAAGCCCTCCCTGCTGTGTGAGTTCGACTCACATCGAGGCCGCGCATTCTGCACAGTTGGACCAATCGAATAAAACAATCTGTAAATAAAAGAAGACGAGTGAGGCAATGGAACAATCTTTATATTATTCACAGCTTCCGAAATTGTGCAGGAACAACAACGGTGCTCGACCAATCTTCTGGACTCACTCAAACACCCGTCGCATCCATTCATGAAAACTCATCTATGATTCATATGCCCACACAAAGTAATTGGATGACGGTATCTATTTTCCCGGTGCCTGTGGCAGTGGAGCATCAATAACGGGATGATATGTCTGTCTATGACATCACCTGCGCCTTAAACGTTTTTGTTATGACACCGCTGGGCGTAGACAATCCTAGGAAAGGGATTAGCACACATGGTGCGCTGGCCCATCTCTCTGCTGCCATAAAT